AGCCCGAGGAGCCAGCTCCAGAAGCTACGCCCGCTGTAAAGGCTGAGGAGGGGAGCACGGCCACGGCCAGCGCTGGCACGGGCACCAAAAGGGGGAAGACCGCTAAGGAGTCGATCAAGCGAGCTGGGGAGGAGCTCAAGCAGCGAGCCGCCATTGGCCAGACCCCGATCTATCACCTCTCCGTCATGGTGTCGGAGGCTGTTCGGACATGGATCACCGAGCTTCCCGAGTGGTGGATTAAGGACGAGTTGAAGGCCTACGACCTCGTAGTCGAGATCGAAGTGATCGTTAAGCAATGGGACGCCAAGGAGAGGAACATGCGGACCGACCTGGAGGACGACACGTTTTCAGAGGTCGGCCAATACCGAAGCATTGCGACCCATCCATAGCCACGATTTGGGGGTTGGTTCAGGTCCTGGGGAGGCTGTCACGATGTTTTTTTGGGGTTGGAGAGGCCAGTAAAGAACACGTTTTCTGACGATGATGGCGTGGTTGTGTTGCAGGTTTTCGGTATTGGAAGGTGCTCAGGAGCTTCGCTGTCATCGCGAAGTGCGCTCACCACACGGAGTCCGCCAGGCCTTCCTCGAGCGACGCGCGGCACGCCAGGAGGGTGATCCTCGACCAGGTTCGGCAGCCGAGCTCTCCTGCGTCGGAGCTCGCGCGCACGCTGCAGGCATACCCAGTGGGCAAGGCGATGATGGAGGCCAGCCGCCTGCACGTGGCTCAGAGCATCGAGGACGACGCGGCGACGGGAAAGTTCGAGGCCTCGTCAAAGCGTTTCGAGAGCCACTTCGCGGAGTGCGTTGACGATTTGCCGCAGTGGATCGCCAGGATGCGCCGCACCTCTGTCGAGGATGGCTTCGGCTTCATCGACGACCTCTTCAAGAACATGTGCCCTTTCTTCGCGAGCGCGCACGGTGCCATACAGAAGTGGTCCGCGGCGTCGGTGCACTCGAACCTCGACTACATGGCGAGCAACCTGTCGAACTCAATGGACCTCATCAGGATCGGCAGGTACATGCTCATCGACATATGGGGCGAGCTCGTTCTGCCTATAATGCCGACGCTCAACGACGCGCTACTAGCGCGCACTAACGGGTACGATATTCAGGGGGGTGATGATGGGCACCCTTTGATGGATATGGATCAGAAGTCCGAGCACGATGAGGCCATCATGGAGGTGAAGGCATCACACGATAAGACCATCGAGCACTTCTCCGCGACGGCGGTCCTCGTCAAGGAAAGCATCACCAGCTTCGGCAACACCCTGACGGACATCGACACCAGGTGGGAGAACGCCAAGGTGGCCTTACTCGGTCGCGTGGGCGAGGTTATCTACGATAAGTTGCCTGAGGAGTTCGTCTCTAACCCAGTCAAGCTTCAGAGCTCCATCGGGCATGCCACTGACCTGCTGAAGGAGATGCTCACATTCATGGAGTACCGCGTGAAACTTACGGATATGAAGGCACATGTCATGCAGATCGCTGAGCAGCAGGAGGAGTTCACGAACACTGCGGTCAAGTTTGCGGGCATGTTGAACTGGATGAATCGGGAGATATTCGAGTTCGATGCCGACAGCTTGGCCACCGATCAGTGCCGCGTCTTGAAGGTGAGCGATGTCTTCAGGCAGTTCGTCAACGACGTAGGCTCGCAGGGCAGCTCTTCGCTGACGCGCATCCTCGCCGCGCCGACCCCCCAGCATTTAACCATGATGTGTGTTTGAAGGTTTCCACCCAGCAATTTTGAAGAGTTTTGAAGGTTTCCACCCAGCTCTTCTTTACATTGTGTGATGGTTTACTTCGTGGTTTTGAAGGTGTCGAGGGGGTCGGCGACGGCGAGGGGCGCGCTCGTCGGGGGGCTTCTCGCCCAGGCACGCCCATCTACACCGACGCCGCCGACAACTTTGTCAATGGCCTGCTCGCGGAGATCGCCCCCAAGCTCAGCTTCGGACTCGGCGAGGTCAGCGAGAGCGTCGTGCGAGAGATCGCCCAGGAGCAGGCTTTCGCCAGGCTGGTCACTGACGCCGACATCACTGCCGTCCTGCTGCCAGGCGTTGCATGGGCTGACGGCTCTCAGATCGACGATGCAGCTGTAGAGGCGGTTCCGTACAACAAGGCGTTCTCAGACTTGGTGTCATTCATGCAGGCAGGTTCCATTAGCGACATCTTGATCCCAGGCGCCTCTAAAGACGGCCTCGAGGCTCGCATGCCAGTGGATCTTGCGAAGCTGTACTTGGACATCGTGACGCAGGTGAAGGACTTGGCGGGGATCGCAGCGCAGCTGCACTCGAACCTCTACATGGACCAGAAGGCGAGCGAGGAGGACATGTTCGGCAAGTTCACCCATGCGCAGCGCATGATGGGGAGGGCGCTGGCACGCATGGACAAGCTCCTGAGCTCGAAGGAGGTCCACGAGTTCGAGAAGCAGGGCTGGGCGCTGACCGTCACCCCTCAGAGCGCGAGGCAGTGGATCAGCGCGCTCGCAGTCTACTCGTGCAGCTGCCGCAACCAGCTGTTCAAGAACTTGGAGGCGGTCCTCCAGTGCCACTCCAAGGCGTGCAAAGGGATACTTCCAGAGCTCGACGCGGCGGTCGACTCGAGCGGACGCTTCAACGAGAAGCTCGGCCTCATGCTGTTCAACAACCAGCAGGGCGTGGTGAACGCCTACAACAAGGTGCGTAAGAGCATGTCACACCTGGTCAGGGCGGGCAAGCTCCTGGAGTTGGTGCCTACCGTGGCCGAGCACGACCTGACGGCGGAGGCCGTCGCGACGGGCGTCACGTGCATGGCCATCGGCCTTGCAAAGGGGCGCTCTGCGCCACCTGGGGCGCCATCGGAGCAGTTTCAGTACCCACCCACCCCCCCTCCTACACAGAAGTGGAGAGGGGGATGGGGACGACGACGACGACGACGACGACGACGACGACGACGACGACGGCGATGCTCTGATGGCGCCCCAGATGGTGCAGCGCACACTTTTGTTAGCCGTGCAGGCGAAGGCGAACCAGGTCGTGGCGATGACCCGCGGCGTGCAGATGCTGGAGGATCTCAAGACCTCCCCGACGGGCCCTGCGAGGGCCGCGGCGCTCCTGGAGCGCTACAAGACGGACATGGCGAAGGACGTGCCCACGTGCTTCTGGGCGGAGTTCGAGGCGATCTCGGCAGAGGATCGTGGCGCGCCAGCCGCGGTCGGCGCCGAGGCTCCGCCTGCCGCCGATGGCTCCAGCGGCTGATGTGGAGGGGCGGCGCGCGCGGCCAGCGGCAGCCAGTGCTACGCGCCCCAGCCAAAGGGCACGGGGCCGCCGAGCCAGGGCACGGCGACCAAGACCAAGCAGGAGCAGCACGACAGCGGCGGGGCGTCGAGCTCAGCCGCGGGCGCCAAGCGTGGCGCGCCAAGCTCCAGGCCAGCTGGCCTGAAGCGCGCGAAGCGCTAGGGAGGCAGGCTCACTTTTCGGAGCCTCCCTGGGCCACCTCGCGGTGGGGATATGGGGGGTCAGACAATGAGGAGGATGAGAGGGAGGAGGATGAGGAGAATGAGGAGGGGGAGGATGAGGAGGATACATCATCAACCTGATGATGGTAACGACGACGATGATGCTGATGCTGATGGCGACTATGCTGATGGTAACGACGACGATGATGGTGACGGTGGTGATGATGATGTCGATGAGGGTGATGATGATGATGATGACGGTGGCGAAGATGATGATAACGATGACAATGACGATGACGATGGCAATGGTAATGATGATAATGATGCTGATGATGATGGTGATGATGATGATGATGCTGATGATGATGATGATGGTGGTGATGACGACGATGATGCTGATGATGCCGATGATGCTGGTTACGATGATGACGAATATGAGGACGACGAGGATGATGAGAGGGAGGATGATAATCATGATAGGGGTCCCCGTGAGGTGGCCCGCGCGAGCGAGGCATTCTTTTTGTTTCAAGAAACAAGCCTGCGAGGGGACCCCTCGTGGCTCGCGCCGCCATCGCCCACTGCTGCGAAGTGGGCGCGGGCAAGGCGGCGGGAGAGCCCAGGACGTTAGGCGGCGAGAGGCGTGACATCATCGTCGTCGTCGTCGACGTCGTCGTCGTCACCTCCTCCAGCTTTTGCTGTTCGCCTGGGTTGCTTTTTCTCCCCCCTCCAGCCTTCCCCCCGTCCTCCTCCTACTTCCGTCCCCTCCCTCCTTCACTACTCCTTCGCCCTCCTCCTGCTCCTCCACTCCCCCTCCGCCCTCCTCCGACACCTCCTCCTCCTATTCCCACGCCATCTCCATGCTCCTCCACTCCTCCTTCGCCCAACTCCTGCTCCTCTTAATCCTACTCCGACTTCTCCACTCCTCCCGCACCCTCCTCCCACTCCTCCTACGCCCTTCTCCTACTCCTCGTCCCTCGCCCTCCTCCTCTTCCTACCCAACATACACGCTCTGCAATAGTTCCACCCGCGGGCGATTGATGGTCACGGCTGGCCCGAGTTATGGGCGTTATGGGAGGGCCACGGATCATAATGTGTGCCGCTGTTAGGTTGCGCGCTCGGTTATGCTAGTGCTATGCCCCGAAGTGTTTCGTAAAGTATAAGTTGCCTAAAAAAATCGCGACCCTAAAGGAAATGAAAAAAACAATGCGTCGTTAGGAAGTATCGCCCCCGAAAGTCTTGACGAACGAAGCGTCGCCGCCAAACGCCTTGACGTACGAAGGTGCCGCCGAGTGCAGTGTCGCCGCCAAACGTCTTGACGTAGTGCCCCCCCCCCCCCCCCCCCCCCCCCCCAACGCTGACCCGCGGGACACACTCAAATTATGCTAACCTTTACCTCCCCCTCCTCCTCCCCCCTCCTCCTTCCTCCTCCCTCCCTGTTGCTCTTTACTTATTGGCGTCGTCCTCTTCTCCTTCAGCTTCCTCCTAGTGATCCCTCTCTTCCTCCTCCTCCTCCTCCTTCTCCGCCTCCTCGTGCGGTGCGCCGCTCGAAAAAAAAGTAGCGTGGCGGCCTACAGGCCCAACATCTCTGTGAAGCGGCCCAACGCCGCTGCCCTCTCCTTGTACATGGATGATCCCGCGGCCTGCGCCGCGAGGTACTCTGTGTTGTAGTTCGAAATCGCACGAGCCACATCCTGGCTGACCGCCTGGATGGGAGAGGGAAGATGAGGAGGTCCGCCTCATCATCGACCCCCTCCTCATGGTCCGCCTCCTCATCCTCCTCCTCATCATCACCTTCATCATCTAATTCCTGATCCGCTTCACCACCCCCTTCCTCACCTAAGTCGTGATCCGATCCATCCCTACCGTCCCCATCCGCATCATCATCATCCCCCTATGCCCTGCCATCGTTGCCATCATCGTCATCATCGTGAACACCTCCTTCCTCCGATCCCGTCCTCGTCATCCACGCCCGCACGACCCTATCATCTTCCCCTATAGCCTAATCGTGTTCTTGATCATCGTATTCGTCATCGTCATTCTTGTCTTCGTGATATTCGTAGTCATGCAGGTCATCCTCATCAACGTCCTAGCCTCCCTCATCCTCACCATTCGCCTCACCGTCTTTCCCTCATCCCCTGAAGTTTTTCATCACCATCTCATTATCCCTAGGTTATCCTCAGTCTCGTCGTCATCCTAATGGGTTGATTCCTGATCCAGACTACCATCCTCATGAACGTCCTATGCCTCATTTTCATGTTCTCCGAAACCCCATCCTCGTTCATTGTCTAATCGATCCTCCTCCTCCTTCTCCTCTTCCTCCCCCTCCTCGCGCTCATCCGCCCTCTACTCCCACCTCATCTTCCCTCCTCCTCCCTCTTCCTTTGGTCCTCGTCCCTTTATCCCCTAGGAGCGGTGGGCGAAGGAGAAGGAAGAGAAGGAGGAGGAGGGCGAGAGGATCAATGGTCAGGGCGGGGTAACTTAGGCCGGAGGAGGAGGAGGACTCGTTGGTTTGGGTCGGAGGAAGTGGAAGATCGAGGATGAGAGGGGGCAGGAGGAGGAGGAAGAGGAGTTTGAAGCACGGCGCCGTCTTGGCGTTCTCCGCGTGGAGCAGCGGCAGCACGATGAGATGGCTCAGCGGCATCTTCTTGGTCTGCTGGAGCTCCAGCGGGTGGTGCAAAGGCATGATCATCGTGCCCATCGGCACGTGCAGAATCTCACCAATCTTCAAATGGATAATCTTCGAGCCTTGGATGCCGTTGCTGCCCTCTTCAGTCTCCGCGAACTTCAAGAAGTCCTTGAGCGACACGCCGTTCTGCAGCACTGTCGCCGCCTCGTGGCACATGATGTGGGTATCCTTCGTGCGTGCAATCACCATGCACTCGAAGCCCACGAGAGGAACGGACGCTGGACCCCAGCGAGGGCAATCGGCCTTGATCGTCATCAACCACGGCGATACACCACCCGTACAAAGCTCGAAGTAGCCGTCGCCCAACGCCTCCACGTCGGTAACCACCCAGTCGCTCGTCACGCGACCCAGGCAGCCTAGCCAGTTCTGGCCTTTGGTGTCGAATGAGGTGTCGTGAACCTTGATCTTGTTATTGATGGCCTCGGAGTTAGTCTGAATCATCCTGGAGACCGCATTGTGCACCTCAGAATTTGGGTCGTTCCACACCGTGATCTTGAAGGGGTCGACGCTGCTGCCATTCAGTGCCACGGAGCCCTGGAACAGCAAAGGTTTCTTCAGCTTGCCGCCCTTGGCGCAGGGCTCGCTGACCAAGGACTTCTTCTCGGCGCCCCCCCTCATGGAGTAGATCGTCCTGGAGATGTTGTCGGCGAGCTCCTTCGAGAAATTGCATTTCATCAGCCTGCACATTATCTCGATGCGCTTGTTGTAGTGGCTCATGTAATCGATCTGCTTGCCGTGTCCGCCCTTCTCGTTGAGATACCGAAGGCCGTCCAACTGAGTATACACCTGCTTCTTCGTCTTCTCGATCTCGTCGATCTTGGAATGAAGCCTAGCAGCAATCTCTGCGAAGCTCGACTTGTTGCAGTCAGCACCGAGCCTCTCGACACCTTCCTGAATCTCCTGCGCAATACTGCTGATGCTCTTGATCAGCTCGTCGGTCGGCATGTCAAGGTCTTTCTGCGCCTCGGTGCCCACAGCGTCGCTGGCGGCCCTGAGCTGAGACACGTAGCCCGACCCAGTAGACATGAAACCAGCGTGCACGTGGGACGCCATCTCACTCCAGTGCCGCTTCACCTCCATGAACACGACGGGCTCCATCTTCTCGATGTCCTCCAGCGTCGGCGCGACGCGCTCCCTGGTGGCGTCGTCAATGTTGATATCCGACTTGGGTTTGAAGAGCTTGGTCTTGCCGCCCTTCTCAGACGGCGCCCCCTTCTTCAACTTCGTGCCGTCCTAGCTTGTGTCTGGGGCCTCAGCTTCCCGCGGCGTCTCGCGAGGCGACGTCGCCACGCCGACCGTGCAGGCGTCCAAGGTGTCCACGCTGTCGGCCCTGGAGCGGCCGTCGCCGAAGGTCAGGTAGTGCTCGGCTGAGCGGGCGTTGGTCGGAACATGCGACGGCGGCATTCGACCATCGCAGGACGAAGCAGAAACCGACGACTTGGCCATGAGGCGCCTGCGCTTCACCTCCGCATCGAACGCAGACGTCTCCATCTCCACCTGCATGCTGCAATTGGACTTGGACTCGCCTTTGGACGTCCTGATGCGGCCGATGTCCTTCGTAGCTATCTTCTGCAGCACTTTCACCTCACCGTCTTCCACCCACGTCACGTCGTACTTGCCCTTCTGCTCTGCGTGAATCCGTTCAAACTCAAGCGTGCTCTCCTCATCTGTCTTCCTGTGCCAGAACCCCTCGAACGCCATGAACTCCGTCCGAGAGACGATAATGTCGTCATCGATCCCCTTCTGAGTCTCTTTCGATTTCGTCTCCGTCACGGTGAGGAACCTCTTGGTCACCTCCCTGGCGCTGTCCCTCGCGACCTTGGCAGGGTCGATCCAAGGACGGATGCGTTCTTGCCAAGCGGGACGGTCGAGCTCGAAGTCCTGGTTCATTTTATCAACCACGTGCTTCGGCGCTCCCTCCAGGTAGCGGTCGTGGGCCCGTATCGCATTGAAACAACGCCCGTGGAGACACATGCCTTTCCAATCCTTCTTGCTCGTGTCTGCGTGCGCAATCCATCTCGCAGAGACCGCACTGGAAGCACGGGAGGTCTCCAACATCAGGCCCCTCTCCCAGAATCTCCTCGTCCGCCACGACTGAAGCAGCCATGCTGCACCAAATGCCGCGGCAAGGAGGGGCAAGCGCTCTCACCGCCAGCTCCTGTGAGCCCAAAGTGGCTTGAGCCCAAGCGGTGTTCGGTCGTTTGCTTCTGACGCTCCAGTTGGCCCTTCATTGGGAGCACAGGTTGGGGGCCTTCATCGGGGCAAATTTGGGGGGCCTTCAGCGTTGGCACTCTGCACTGACATTTGCTCTGGCTTTATGCCTGCCTGCGCACACCGAGACACGCCACTGCAGTACCACGATTACGTAGTCAGAAGACGTCAACCGCTTGCTACTGCCCAGGGTCTTTAACCTTCTGGAGGCCCGCTTCTGTCTGCTTGGAGTCTTGTTTTGCTGGGGTCTTATTTTGTTGCTGTCTGGTAGGCGTCTTTCGCTGTTTGGTAGGTGTTTGCTAGCAGTGCTGTCTGGTAGGTGGTGTGTCGGTTTCTGGTGGGTGTTGTGTTGCTGTCTGGTAGGTGCTTTTCTGTTGTCTGGCAGGTTTCCTTTTTTTTCTGTCTGGTAGGTGGTGCGCTGCTGTCTGGTAGGTGTTAGTTTGCTTCCTGGTGGGTTTATGGTGCTGTCTGGTAGGTGTTCGTTTGCTGTCTGGTAGGTTTCGTGTACTGTCTGGTAGGTGTTATGTTGCTGTCTGGTAGGTTTCGTTTGCTGCCTGGTACGCGTTATGTTGCTGCCTGGTACATGTCTTTTGCTCTGGTAGGTGTCATGGTTGCTGTCTGGTAGGTGTCTTTTACTGGCTGGTAGGCATCCCGTGGATCAAGAGGAGAGAGGATGAGCAGTGAATCAGGACAATCAGGCGAGAGAGTTCTCCTGCAACCATCAGCCTGAAATATCTGCTGATGCCAGCGTCTTGGCCTCTCGATGCGGCCTCTGAGCGTCGCCGCACGATGTGGCCATATAACTCCAAACAGTCTACGCAGCTAGATGATTAAGCAGCTGCAACTTCAAACAAAATAAGATTCCCACCGATGCGGGCTCGCGATTGTTGTCTGCAATGCGAGACTCACGATTGCCGAGTCCTCGGGCCCATATTGCACTCCACCTCGAAAAATACCTTGTAGTTCGTGCTCTCGACGGGCAGCTCCCGCATCTTCACTGGGAACCTCGAGCCCAACTTGTCGATGAAGCCCTGCTGGATGCCAACCGGGACGTCCTCCCACCTGTCCCAGCGGGACGCTGCCGTCATGCTCAGCTTCTCCGTGGTTGTTTTCGTCCTCGGTGGACGCAGTGGCGGCGACCGCGAGCGAGGAGCCTCGGCCGCCGCCGCAGCGCTCTTGCTGGCACTCTGGTGCTTGTCTGGGGGACGCGGCGCCGCTGCCGAAGCCGATGGCGTTTGTGTGATCCTGACCGCTGCTGCCGCAAGCTCCGTCTTGAACGAGTACTGCGGCGTCGGAGCCTCATTGAGCTTCTTCGCCACATCGGCGAAGCGTGCAACTGGAGGTGGCGCGGCCTGCCCCGATGAGGCACTGCCTGCTGTCCCTGGCGTTGGCGATGGGATATTGTCCATCTTCTCTGGGCGGGCTGGCTCTAGCGAGCGGCGATGCTGCAGCACTTCAGCTGGAATGGTGTTGGCGTAGTCTTCTGGCACCATAGAGTCCGTGAGGGAGTCGGGCGGCCCTTCCCATTGGGTCTCGCCCGATGGGAACATCTCGAGCGTGTCTGGCTCAACGGGCGGCTGCGCGCCATCCTCTGCGACGACGTGCTGCTTCGACTTTGGAGGCGCCATGACTTGGAACTCTGGTGCGTGAGCAGACAAGAACGCGCGGAAACTAGAGCACCGAGCCAACGCGCTATCACGACAACCCTGGAACGGGGCGTCGGCACGCTCGGCGCCCCACGAAGGAATTGGAGGATGAGGAGGGGTCAGACGAGGAGAAGAGGATGACTGGGAATGCAGAGGCTACGTTGGGAGCTGTATCGTGAGCTGGGGCAGGACGAAGAAGAGGAGGAAGAAGGCAACTGGAGGGCCTGCCAAGGAAGAGGAGCAGAACCCCCGAGGAAACGCAAATCTGATCTGCGCCCACGACGGGGGGGCAGGCCGTGGAAACACTATACCCCAGAGGGGGTGTCCAAGGATTGAATCTAGAATCTCAAAGCGGAGCTTTAGTATGACATCATGCTTGGCATTGGGCAACCAGTTTGGGGTCCCACCGGACTGGCGGCGGCCGTTCAATAAGTCTGTTGGGGCCACGGCCTGCGGTGCAAACACTGTTTGGGGATCGCCGAACGACATCGGGGTGCAAGCACTGTCAAGTTTTCTTTGCGTTGGCGTAACCCTACTGCACGACGCCCACGCATACACGGTGACATCTCTAGTGTGTGCATCACAACAGACTACCACCACGCGCGCGTGTACCTGCGTCGCGCGCGGGCCCTATCGGCCAGCCTGTGATGTGCGTTGTTAGTTCCCCTTTGTTGCGGGCACCCCTGCGTGGCCATTTCAGTTCCCAAGACAGCGTAGCGGGTTGCTTTTTGTGGGCCCACAGACTCCACCGCGCGCGTACGCGCGCCGTGCGCTGGCCAAGTTGCCTAGCGCGTGGTGCGAGCATGTTAACGTCGAAACCCATCTGGCGACAATTCAGGGCCCGCGCCAGGTCCACTGCCAGCATGGTCGTTCCTCTGGTGAGGATAGTTCAGAATTGGCCACATGCGCATGCGCGCGTCGTGCGATGACCAAAATCAAGTGTCACGTGGTGGGCCACTGCTACCTGGCAGCCTCCTCTCTTCGAAGACGCCAGAGGTTTAATATTGGTTTGCAACCCACCATGGTACCTTTTGTAGCTTGGGGTATATAGGCCCCAGCACGCGCGCGCGTGTGCGCGTCGTGCGCTGTCCCAAGCGATTGGCTTCTCATGGGCCAAGGCTGACTTCTGCATCTACATCGGTAACGGCTGTAGGCTTCAGATTAGTTCATAGGTGGCATGGCGGGTTTCTGTTGCTGGTGTTGCAGAAGCCACGGGCTGCTGTCTCGCGTGCGCGCGCAGCGCGCTGACCCAACCTAAAGGCGCATAGTGGGCCATGCCTGCTTCCGAAATCCAATCGGTCACCGCTAAGGGTTCGCCTTGACTTCTGAGACAACGCCGTTGCGCCCGCACGGTGGGCAGCGCAGAGCCCACCACGCGCGCGCGCACGCGCGCCGCGTGATTTCCCAACCGACTTGCATGCGGCGGGCCCAATGTAGCGCTATGGCATCCTATCGGCCAGCGCGAATTGCCCGCTTGGGTTGAGTCGACGTGCCATCTGTCTTGTCGCTGGTGTTTCCGCACCCGCGCGCGCGCGCGTCGGCGCTAGTCACTGATTGGCGCTTGATGGGCCCGCGCGAACGCTGAGCGCAAAATATGGGTTTGGTGGCGTTTCACTCTGGTGCCAGAGCCAACTTTGCGACTTCCCGATTGCGGGCAACGCGCGTTCCACTTCGCGCGCGTACGGGCGCCGCGAGCCAGCCCCGACAGGTTCGCGTTGTGCCCGCGTGCCCCCGCTCTATTGCCCAACTGTTTCTCGCGGCTCATTGCCCGACCAAACGCCTGAGCCGACGCGCTGACCCCCTTGGCGCTGGGGCCATGCGCTTATCGCGCGCGCGACGCGATCAGGCCCGCGTCGGCTTACGCGCGGCGCGCATGGGCTGGCGGCGACGCCCAATCGGCCACCCCTGAGGGCACCACTTCTTTTCCATTGCGGCGTGACGGCTTCTTTGTCGAAGGCAGCTCGCAGTTCAAGTCCCACTTCGCGCGCGCGTCAGCGCGGCGTGCGCTGCTGCCCATAGGGCCTGTTCCACGCGTGGCAGGCCCGCGGTGACGTGTGCGTCCACGCGGCCCATCGCCACCATCTTGCGGGCCCCACTTTTTGTTCCGAGGAGGCGCGGAGTTGCGCGAATTCTGGAACCAGCAACGCGCGCGCGCCGCGCAGGCAACTTCCCGAGATGCCTGCGCGCGTCGGCGCAACGTCACATTCGAAATCCGAAAACACCTATGCCGCCACTTGGAGGCGGGGGTTGGGGGGGGGGGGCTTGCGCGAATGCTTGGACCATCGTGGCTGATGCCGCGTTGGGTCGCGCGGCAGAGGCCACCGCCGCGCGCGCGTGCGCCGCGCGCTTACATAATCTGTCGACGTTGGGTGCGCCAGCCAGCGGTGGCCCGCGACAGATGGGCAGTCATCGCTAAGTGGGGGCTTCGAATGTCCAAGGCAGCGCTGCGGTTATTAATTCTTGGAGGCCGCGCGGCCCAACGCGCGCCCAAGCGCGCGCGCGTCGTGGGCCCGCCGCTCGGCGGGCGCGCGATGGGGCCATGCGTGCGCCGAAATCCGAACACCCTCCGCTTCGGGTTCATTCAGAATTCCAGCAGCAGCGCGTCGGTCTCCACACTGTGGGCGCCAGAACCCCACGACGCACCCGCGGCGCGCGTCTTTTGCTGGCCCAGCAAGTTGGCGCGCAGCGGGCCACCGTCAATTTCGAAAGTCTAGCGCCGCCCGCCCTCGGTTCATTATGGCACCGAAAGCAGCGTCGCGCGTCGCGCATTCTCTGATGCGGAAAGCTCGGTGCCGCCACGCGCGCGCATATACGCGTGGCGCGTTGGTCCACACCGAACGGCGCGCGATGGGCATACTATATCAAAGGCAACGTCAGGTCCCAATCGGCCACCGTTGGTGTCGAGCTGCGGTTGCCAGGCCGTCATGGTACTTTCGCCACCGTTGCGGCTGCAGAAGTGGCGTCGCGCGCGTGCGTGTGCGCGCCGCGCGCTCGCGCAGCCGACTGATGCGGGGCGGGCGTGGGTTAACTCCCCGATGCAATGCCACGCAGCCAAAGGCTCGAACTACTGTCCAGGCCGACGTCGCTTGGCCTCCGCAGTGGATGTCGCAGAAGCCACAACGCGCTTGACAAGCGGCCCGCCCGTCGCGCGGGTCGCCCGCAATCCGTTCCGTCACCGCTGAAGTTTCGCGATGCTGCCCAGGGCAGCAGCAGGGCACCTTGCGCCTGTTGTACTGCAGCATCAGCCGCG